GACAGTTCATATTAACAAAGGGTAAGCCTGGAATGCAGTCTGGGTGGACAGGAAAGAGAGGGCAGCCAATGTGCACCTTCTCGGTACTAGACCATGTTACATCATGCCTTTTAACATTTGGGGGTTTCTTGCAAGGGAGGACAGCAAAGTTAAATGTAAATAATCACACCAACACCTTTGAAAAAGTCCTTTATTGACAGAAAAATACAATTAACAAAAACAAAATGTGAATAATGTCCCCCAATGTAAATCCATTCTAAATCACATAGTCCAGTGGTGTAAATCCACCATCAATCACCAAATTAAATCTTTGACCCACCACCTGACATTTCCATGCCTCACTCCTGTCACTAAATGACAGATCCCTGGCAGCACTGGGGATCCCATTTGATGTCAGGACCATATTTGATTAATGACAGCTCCTGGGATCCCCACGGTGTTTACATTACAGCAGCACTGGTAGTTTGGGCAGGTGAATGGCCACAATATTTTGGCAGATCCACGAATGGCCTGGGTTTACCTCAAACCCAGGTGTGGCCCTACATGCTGGACACCTCAGGAAGCCATTTTACCACAACAAAGTGTGATTGAGGTAGTTGATGATCAGTACTGATGGTTTAGGCATGTTTATATCCTACTGTAAGTCTGAGTGGGGAAGGTTTCTTGCAATTAATCACATCACATTGATTATTGAACTTCCTGGGTTTAAATCAGTTTTTTCTTGAGAATGCTACCTGGGTGTTTTTAATTCTGTATCTGCACTTTATGTTTTTGAGGTGTGATGCTCACAGTATTGATATTGTTACACCAGGAGAGTGAGATAAGTAACATTTGCTTTACTATAACACAAGGGGCTCTATTTATCAAGTTTTCACCCAAGATTTCATATATGCTTCAGTTAGAAAATTGTGCAAGTCTTGGGTGAAAGTTGTGTGACTTGTGTTTAAACATTGATAAGTAGACCTTGAAGTATATGTAAAGCCAAAAGCTTTTTTTTTGGTTCTGAATAGAGAAGGAAGGATTAAAATCCCTATCAGGTTATTTCTTTGCTGCCTGTGTCCTGGTTAGGAGATTTGCCTGCACTTCCTGTCCTGGAGACACAACAGAATAATAAAGGAAATCTCCCCAAAGGGAATCAAATTCCCATCTTAAAGAGTTTTCACAGAAACAGGTGTCCTTATTGGAGGATCTTCCCTCACCTTTTGACAAGTTGTCAAAATAAATAACAACTTGACAAAGGGTCTACCTCTGCCCTAATACCTCTTTCAACAGCGGAGTGGTGGATACTCTTTTCTGCAGTGCCGATTGAACCATTTACAGACACTGATCCCATCCAAGATATATGTTCTGTATATGTCAGCTCCAGCCTGCCTCTGCAGTGACCTGTATATTAACCCCTTCATCTCCATCCTCCCACTATATTTGATCTGTACATTAACCCTTTTATCTGTGTATGATCTGCAAATGTAATGCATCTAGTACACCAATTACCAAGCGCCCTCAATACCAGCATGTTTATTCATTTCCACATAATTGTGGCAAAAAACGTGTCTGCTTTCCACAAAGGGGTCATTTTGTTGGTGTTTGTAAAGTTAGGGAAATTTGGGTACAGTGTTGGACGCAAGTAATTGTCTGCCTTTCACAGCACTGAAAACTGGTCTTGTAATGGAGGGGTATTACAGGCTGGCACTGAAGCGGCTAAGCTTAAACTGTGTGAACGTTCGGACATGTTGCTATCTGTGTTTCTTGCATAGCACAGGCAGTTTTCTGATTTAACTCTAATAAGAACAGTATTCAAGCACTTCCAAACTGCAGCTAAAGGGTTCTTAATGCCTAGTTCACACATGATTCAGCTTGGAAACTCTAGTCAGAAGAACAATGTATACAGCAAGCATTTAAAAAGCCTAAGGCAAGCTTCATAAAGCACCAGTCTGGATGAGCTGCACACAGATCTGAATGGGAGTGGTGGCTAACTCTTTAACCTCCCAGGCGGTATTCCCGAGTGTAGCTCGGGGTTACTTTTCCATACCATAAGCGGTAACCCCGAGCTACACTCGGGAATGCCGCATAGCATTTACTTACCTTGTCCCTCGAGCCGCACTGTGTTCTGCGGCCGATGCCGGCTTCCGGGTTCCGTCCCTTGCGAGCGTACGCGTCGCAGGGGGTGGAACCAGCGGCATATTAAAAAAAAACCGAAAAAAACGCCAAAGACGAAATGTATTCGAAAAAAAGAAATAGACAGAAAAATGACATGAAAAAAAATAAAAAATCATACCACCAGGGAGGTTAAACAAGCTTTTAGCACTGCTTGAAGCTTGTTAAAATCCAGCCCGCTAACAGCTTTGTAAATGCTTGTTGTACACATTGCTCTTTAGAAGGCATTTGCAAGTTAAAGCCTATGTGAATTAAACCCAAAGGGCTTGATGAAATTTGCTTGAAGCATTTTCAATGTGTAAAAATCTATGTAGTATAAAAATCTCAATCTAGTGGTCTTCAGACATGTGGTAACAAGCCAACAGCAGAAACTACCTGTATGTAAGAAATCTTTTAGGTGACAGTTGTGTTACAAGGTGCCGGTTTTACTTTTTAAAAAATATTTCTTTTATAACAGTGTTATAAAAAATGTGCTCCTTCTCAAGAAGCATTGTAGGTGGTAGCTTGTACCTAATTAATGTTCCCAAATCTATCAGTAATTAACAAGTATGTAATCGCTTACACAGCAACACAATAGCTCCATGTCATCCAGCAGTATTTTACGAGATGAAAAGCAAGGTCTATTTGCCAAGATAAGCATGCCTGAATTGCAGAATTCATTCATTTCTGGAAGGATTCATGAACACAGTAAAGAAAGCTCCCCTTAGCTTTTCCTGAACAATTCTATTGCCATGTACATTTGGTATGTGTGTGGTCAAGCCTCACCCAGAATTTTTGACTACAGTCTAAGATAAATCCCTGCAGTATCAAGATGTACTAGAATTTAGAAGTCAAAATAAAACTCGTTAATTGTCTTCACTTTAGAGAGGAAGAAAAAGTTAACAATAAAAATGGTTACACTGAAAAGTAATGGTGTGCAGTTACCTTCAGATGTGCCTACTTGGAAGAAAACACATGCTTTGCTCATTTAGGCTAAAACAGATTGACTTTAAGCAACCGACCCCCCTCCCCACAATGTACTTACATTTTTTTTCACTCATTTGCCATGTTCAGTGCTGAAGGAAATGCCCATTACTGTCAGGTATGGAAGAGCTTGCGACTCACCCTATATGACAGTGCTGAACCAATCATTGCTGTTACATAGGGAGCTCATAACGCTGTGTAACCCACAACTTAAGCAACTCGGTTCTTACACAGGACTTCCCCTCACCCCTAGCAGCTGAATGGAGCATCAGGAGAGCAGAACAAATGTAAGTATATACTTCTTGGGAAGGCTAAGTTAAAGTGAGCCTGTTGCTTTTTCCCAGCTTGAGCAAAGCAGAGGTTCATTCAAGGTGGTCATTCATGGGAAGAAGAAACATTCAATCTACTACCACATCCACCTAGAAGGGTAAGGGGCACAAGGAATAGGATATCCTTACTTTTCACTTCTACGGTCTAAAAACAGGAAGTTCCCGCTGCTAAGTGGATGGTTTGCCGCTGCCTGCCACCAATCTGCCATTGAACTCAAGTACTAGCATAGTATTATGAGCAGCAGGTATCTGAACTCCAGCTTTCAGGAAGCCCTTTACCTAGCAAATTCAGGGGCTTTTTTGGGCTACTATGGTGTGCAGACCTGAAAAACAGAAGGTATGTTCTCATACCTCCCAACTTTCTCAGATAAGAATAACAGACACCTTCCAGCACAATATAGTTAGGTAATGGAGCCACGTCCCCAATTATGTGGACCATCAATAATTTTTATTCCAAAAATGATTGGACAGCCCAGAATTGTTTTTTCACCATTACATTTCCTTCATACTGGCTTTTCAAAAAAGCAAACCAGACAGTTATGAGGTAAAATAAATGTATAAGTGCAGAATAACACTTTTGGTAATTAAATAGAACATTTTCATAGTTATCTGTACATCAGACCAAAAAGAGGGACAACTGAGGAATGAGGGATTTGTTTACAAATGAGGGACATTTGGGAGGTATGTGTTCTGGCACCCCTACAATATTTGCATGCCAATGTTATGTTATACTTCTTTTGTTGCATTGACAGGTTTGATTGACTGGCAATCTAATGAAAACTAGATATTTTGGTACTAACATATTTTAAGCAGACTGAAAAACCAACAGGAAACCTAGGAAGCCATCGGGTGCTTGAACCTACTTGAATTCTCCCAAGGTGATATGAATTTTAAGCAGACTTACCTTTTCCAGGCTTCAAGAATGAAAGAACAGAATTTTACTCAAAACACAGAAAAGAAACACTGCCATACTGGCTCCATAATATTGCTTTATTGATAATGTTCAGGGACAGCCAGCAAATGTAAGTCTCTTGAGCACTGACTTTTTGTCATCTATTATACATACATCATGCAAATCCTATAGTGCTATAAAGGGGAGTAAACATCTTTCGAATACACATGAAAAAATGAAATGATACACAAAGCCATATTATCTATTCAATTTATCACAGTCATGTGCAAATATTAAATATGGCTTTTCATTTTCTTTCAAAAAAGTAAGACATAATACACAGCATTATAGTATTCAAGCCAGTTACTTTCAATCGGTTTGTAATTTAGGCATTTTTCCAGAAGAGGGCGTAGATTACTAAGGCACAACATTAGTTACATATCATTTTCAATTAGACCATGCTAGTTTGGTTACATGAAGTAAAAAAAAAACAAAAAAAAAACGGTATCACTAGTGATATATTAAGCTGCTACTTGTACAATAATTAATGAACTAGGTCATACTAAATATCTGTACTATACTCCAAATTATTTTAATGAATATGGAAACATACCACATAGCACTGCATTGTCAGCCATTGTTTTTATTTTTTTTTGTTTTTACTTTTTGGTAACATTCCCCATGTACAGTCTGAGGCAATCTGCGAGACCCCTGCTGTTACTGAATTACAACTCCTAGCATGCATTGCCAGCTGGCAGCAGGCATTCTGGGGATTGTAGTTTCATAACAGTTGCAGAGGCACATGTCAACCACCCTTACTGCAGAAGAATGACAAGAGTTATAAGGCTTTTGTGGAACCAAACAAATATTTACAATCTTATCGTCACCTATGTACAAATTACACTTGTTGCTTTTAGTTTAATGCAACTTGATTTTTTTGTTGTTTATTCTTTAAAGTGCTTGCTTTCATGATAGAGCAACACGATGCATACAATATACCTATGTATCAAGATTAACCCAAGGGATGGCGTTAGGAATATAAGGCAGGTGACATATTAGCTTAATATAACTTGTTTTTGTATGCAGATATAACGGTTTGTTGATAAGATGAAAACAATCCAATAAGAGAAGTCAGAAGTGAGGAAGGGGTTTTAATCAGGATATAATCTGAATATCAATATGAATAAATATGGAAATGCTTGTGTCAATGGTGGGGGGAGCGCATGAAATTTTTCTCACACAGTTAAGTATCCTCCTCTGATTAAATCACATTTGAACATGCAGTTTTTATGTTTTCTATAAAACTGTCTTGTGCTTAAGCTTTCTTTGTGCTGTGCTCTGGTTCCAAATTTAGAATAAAACATTATTTTAATAAAAAGGATTACTTTATATATATTAGATAAAATATAACAAGAGTCCAATTGGTTGGTTTTGAGGCGCACAGGTTAAGGCGATACTTCCATTTTGATCTGCAGCATTGAAAGAGTTTGTAGGCTAAGTTTTTTACATCCAATCGTTGTTATCTTCGTCGGAATTAAGTTTGCTTCTATAATACAGCAAGCTGAACAGTTGCTTTATAGTTCTTTGCACCGAAAATACTTCTTTTGGTAGCAAACAGAAAGCTTTTTGATTCATCCTAATGCCACAAATATGAACATTTAAGGCACTGCCGGCATCCAGTGGTGCCAAACGGATCAGTCACGGTTCCTAGCCATCAGCTTTCGTCAAGTATTTCAGTTATATTCCATACAATACACAGTTACAATGTTTTATTTCTTGTTTTTCTTGAGATGAGAGTCCTGCTGAAGACTAAACAAGTCTGATGTACCTGCTGTACCAGAGATATAAACTCCATGAAATGATGGAAGGACTTGGTTATAGGAATCCAATTCATTATTTAATCTTCATTCCACAGCAGATGGGTGACAGGTCACTGTCTAAGTTCATGATTGTCATAGCTATGAATGGACATTGTTGCTTGAGAGGTCATTTCTTATAATTTCATTTACTGCAAGAGAAAAAAAGTCTGTCAGGGCTTCAAGTTCATTCTTTTGATTTCCAGATCTGCATTTCTATGTAAAATTTATATAAATCGTAAGTCAGGTTCATTCTTTGCATATGGCATTCGTCAAAATGTGGACAGTTTTATAATAACTGAAACAAACAAGAGGCTGTTGCCAACATTTACCAATTATGTCTCACCTTTCATTCTTGATATAAAGCTACGCTTTGCCCATGCAGGGTAAAAGCGACAAGTTCGATTTAAACCCCCCTCACCCCCTTTTCCAAACAGCCCATACGCGCCTTTCCTTCATTCCCCAACCTTACTGTTTGGTTGCCTGTAGCCCGTGTTACACAGAACTTAGGACTCTACCCATGTGACAGCACTGGTGCTTGGCCTAATGCTGTCTCAAAGATTGAGTCTTATACTCCTCCATACCCACCATGCTAAACAGCATGGTGGGGGAGTAAAGAAAAGGCATGTGCTGCTGGGTAGGGGGGAATTAAAGCAAACCAGCGGCTTTGCACTATACTGGCAAAGCATACATTTTCTTTGCTTTGCACTTGGAAAAATTAAACAAGAAATATGACTGCTTGCTTTGGGCAATGCTTACACTATTCTTTGTTTCTATAAATCAGCCTCCGTTAGCATCAAGAGTAGAACCATAAAGGAGTTTGCAAATGTTCCCAAGGCCATGTGAAGACTAAACTGCAATCCCTGCACTAAAGAAGATCTACAGATTTCCTTTACATAGTTATCTCCCATAGGGTAGTGTCCAGTAACCCCTATTACATGGATGTGTCAAAAGGTACTCCTTCATTCATGCAACACAATGGGCTCAATTCACAAAGCTAAGATAAAAGAATAAGCATACTTACAGGTGAAACTCTAATAATTAGAATATCGTGCAAAAGTAATTGCAGTAATTTCTGCAAAAGGGGCCCAAACCAAGTACTGAGTACATATGCATGCTTGTACTTTTCAGAGGTCCGATATTGTTCTATGTACAATCCTTGTTTTATTGATTGCATGTAATAATCTACTTTTTTGAGGTTGTGGATTTGGGGTTCTTGGGGTTTTCATGAGCTGTAAGCCATAATCATCACAATTATGACAAATCACGGCGTGAACTATCTTGCTTTGCATGTAATGAGTCTATCTCATATATTAGTTTCACCTTTTAAGTTGCATTAGTGAAATAAATGAACTTTGCACGATATTCTAATTATTCGAGTTTCACCTGTATATATATAAAAACAAAAAATCACAGTCGCCTGGCTACATCAGGAGGCTGTATCCTGGAATTAAAGCTGTGTCAACTGAGTGTTATGAAAGTTACCCACCAATGCTTAAAAAGTAGCGCTGTCAACTATAATGACATTACAAGAGTGGTTTAAACATCAAGGTTATACCTGTGGTCCGTGCTGTATGAAAGGGTCAATCCAACTAAAAGTGATAGTTCAGTATTACATAGATGCTGGACAGTTGAATAATTTGATAAGTATATGTCTCAAGGACTATTTTGGTGTGCAGTTGAGTTCCACCTTCTGTGGCTGAAAAGATTTTGAGACGTGCAAAGGTGGGCCGAAACACCCAAAAAAACAGGATGGGCAGGGATTTTAGAAGTATGGCCAGGAGTATCCTAGAGTGTTCAAAACACATAAGAAACCAGTGGCTGACCACCTGTAACTAAATACCCCTGTCAGGTGGACTGACCCTTTCAGTATGATTATCTTCACTTCAATCTTCCTGATTGCATTCTCCCAGCATTTACTTAAGTTACTGACAATCAAACGTAATTGCAAGAGACGGTAAAATGGTTTGCTTCTTCAACCACAACCAGTATATCATCCATACTGTGTACTAGAGTCAGTGCTTCCACCTGCCACCAACATAGTTCTCCTACACGGACTGTAGACATGCCCAACACTTCTATCACTTTATTAAGGCCTGAAACTCCTTCAAATGACCAAAGATGTGTGAGAAGAGGAATCTTATCAAAAAGTGCTTCCTCAGATGGAAAAATCAGGGGAATACACCTAATCACAGCACACATGTTCAGTACCTGATCATGGCAAAGTATGTTGTGTACTTTAATATCATTAGTACACTTACAAAAACAGCATAAACACAATACAATGTGGTTGAATTAGAGGCTGTTCACTTGGCACAGTGTATGTTCACTTTGCATAATAATATAAACAAGGTGAATCTATATTCAATTTGGATACCCAGTCATGTGTGAGGAAAATTAGAAAACAGCATTTTTGCTAGGACATGATTGGCCAATTGATGTAAACACAGCTTCATCTTATTTAATAAGCTCAGTGAGCATTAATTTTGTTAAGAGAAAAGCCTCTACTCCTTTAGTAAATCAACGCCAATCATTCTAACAATATTTCCTCTTGTGTTTCTCCACTACAAAACAATCTGGGAAGCCCAAACAGCGCAACAACTGAGGACTACTCGACATCGGGAAATTGCTTAACTTCTGTATACAGACATCAGTTTTCAGCTGTTAGCTCTCATCTGCTTGTTTTCCACCATTGTTTTACTAAGTGTGTACTACAGAAAGCAGCCGAACAGTCAACGAGTCAGTAATTATAAAAGACAGTTATCTAAAGATGGAAGGATAGTTCTTTGCTGCGTCTTCTGTCGTTGTCGTCTTGTCCTGTACACTGTCAGGCTATACAGTTCCCACACTCATCATTTCATGTCAATTTATCAGCTTGTGTTTTTTGGCAGGCGGACAGGAAATGACTGAACCTGGCAAAGGCCATCTAAAGCAAGCTGTACAACATCCCTCCTGTTTCCATTCCTCCCCTGTCCACCCACCCACTCACTACCACCACTGCCACCACAAGCGCTTGATTACCACAAAGATATAAAAAAATGTCAACAGATAACACCTTTTTTTTTAGGACGCAGCTTTCTGTGAAATAAGTGCCCTAAGTGTCACAGAGAATTACCAAAGTTTCCTTTAACCAGAAGAGTTAATATTGCCAATCAAGATAAAAACATGTCACAGATACTCAGGAAATGGTAAAAAGCAACTTCCCGATTATAACTTGTGAGGGGGAAGAAGCTGTTACTGATACATAAATATGTTTGCATACACAGTGAGTTACTAATTCAAACAAATACTACATTGTACCACAATGTGTCATTTGTTACATTGTGGCACATAGTACATAGAAAAAAGATTTTGTGCCATATTTCATACTGCCCTAGATTTTCATTACACTACTTAGCTCCCATCAAATCTTGCTTAACTCAGTCTAGATAAGGCCAGTCTCATTACAGAGTCTCAGTCTGGATAAGGCCAGTCCCATTACTGAGCCTCTGTCTGGATAAGGACAATCCCAATACTGAGCCTCTGTCTGGATAAGGACAATCCCAATACTGAGCCTCTGCCTGGATAAGGACAATCCCAATACTGAGCCTCTGCCTGGATAAGGACAATCCCAATACTGAGCCTCTGTCTGGATAAGGACAATCCCAATACTGAGCCTCTGCCTGGATAAGGCCACTCCCATTATTGATTCTCTGTTTGGATAAGGCCAATCTCGTACTGGGTCTCAGTCTGGATAAGGCCAGTCCCATTATTGAGTGTCAGTCTGGATATGGCCAATCTCATATTGAGTTTCAGTCTCAGATAAACACTGGCTTAATGAAAAGTGTCGCACACCATCATAACAACCACTCACATCTCTCATTTGAATTATAAATCTGACTGGTTGTCATTGGCCCAAGTTTGCTCCAGCTTTTATAAACCATGCGTAGTACACATCTGAATATATTTTTACTTTCCCTAAAGCTGCCCATACACCTTACAATTATCTGCAGATTTTCTCTGGTCAGATGGAAAAGGTGCAACAGATTCCTCCATCTACACTTAACTGTGTAGAGTAGTCTCCACCTGGGCCAATCTGTTGCACTTTTTCCATCTGACCACAGAAAATCTGCAGATAATTGTAAGGTGTATGGGCACCTTAAAACACATAAAAAACAATATAAATGTAAAAATTTACTAAAATCGTTACAACAATTGTAATAACTATAATAAATGAATTATTCTATTATTGATAAAGAGCAATTAAAAGAAACAAGTAAAAGCAATCAGTGAGCTACTAATGCTAACCAACAATCCTTGCAGCCATGCTAAAAGCCGGGAGTTCACAAAATTGACTTAATTCCGATTTCTCTGAAATAACCTTTACAAGAATCCAAAAAGCACCTCATCAGCTGGCCATACTTGTTTAGTTTGTTCTTGTTTGGCCTGCTCAGTTTTCCTATCCATGCTAAATAGGAATCTCCTGCCGCCATCTACTGTATTCTGAATATCTGCACAGTGACTGCAACTGATTGACTGCAGTGAAAGTTCGGCACCCAATTTTCCATCTAGCTCCTTTGATTTTTTTTAAATTGAAGTTTGTTGAGCAAGGTGGGGCTGAACGGGCCACCTACGGCTCAAAACTGGAGCTGTGTGTGGTGAGCTATAGATTTTCTGCAAAGTCCTTTCTCATCTCTGCTTCCTGTATCACCAATCACTTTCAAGAGTAGATCTGATAAATGGCTGGAATAAAATTATTTTTTACATCCAGCGCGTTTGTAAAATAACATAGAGTCTACATTGGGTATGTTTGGAAATTCCTCTCATGTGATACAGGCAGGGGTTCTCAGATCACTAGACTGCCACCAAGTGGGGAGTGCCGTAGACTGGTGCAGTTCAGCAATGCCTGGATGAAACCCTAAAGTACTAAGCAGGTAGAAGCATCTTATTCTTTGACTTTTACATGTGACTGAAGTGAAAATGTAAAATGGTTGTTTGCACATATCACACTGTATTTGGGGGATGCAAGAGTTAGGTATTCTTTTTTCCTAGGTATGTACAGTTTGTCTGTGCACTACAACATGTGACAACAAGAGCCTCCCTAAAGTCAGATTATGAACACAGAAAGAACATCTGTTTGAATCAGAAAGAGGAAGGAAACAGAAACAGAAGA